ATCAGAGGATAAAGCCAGCCACTATATTAACATAGAAGTCAGGTAATGGTAGCACACACCTTTAATCCTATCACTTGGCAGGCAAGGATTTGTCTGGATCTCTGTGAGTTCAAGGCTACAATGGAGAACAGAGTCAGGCATAGGGATACATGCTTTTAATCCAAGCACTAATCATAGAGGTCTGGAGGTCTGTACAGACAGATAGGAAGTGACAGAGCTGGGCAGGAAGAGGAAGTGATGTAGCTGGGCTGAGAGAGCAAATGAGAGAACAGAACAGAAAGACATATAATTGTGGGTATACAAGAGTAGGTCTCTTTGGAAGCTGCGGAGTTGGTGAGGTAAGGTTAGCTGTGGCTTTCCCTATTTCCCAGATCTCTCAGGTTTTCACCCCTATATCTGGCTCCGTGTTTTTTATTTAATAAGTTTGTTTAGAAATTCGTCTAGGGGCTGGAGAGATGGCTCAGAGGTTAAGAGCACTGACTGCTCTTCCAGAGGATTTGGGTTCAATACCCAGCACCCACATGGCAGCTCACAACTGTCTGTAACTACAGTTTCAGGGGACCTGACACCCTTGCACAGGCATATACACAGGCAAAAGATCAATGCACATAAAGATAAGTAAATAATTAAAAAACAACAAACAACAAAAACAAACAAACAAATCGTCTACAGGTACTTATAGTAAGTAGGTGGCTAGAACACAGAGGTGGCCAGACCTCTGTGTAGCTATGGTCCCTTCTGAGATTCTGAACCAGGGGCTTTCATTAAGCCAGAGGCAATCTTGAAGATGACTTTTGAGTTGGATTCTGCAGGATAGATTAGAAGTGAACACCATATGCCCTGAGAGAACAAGAAAAAGGACCATCCAGGACAGAATGTGGAACATACAATCTGGTAGTTTGTTGAGTAGTACAATGTTACATTCTGATGAGCATGGGTAAGTATTTTGTCTTGTTAAGAGTATGGGCTCATCAAACCCATGTTTCCCCACAGGTGGGACACAATCTCTTTGCACTGTCTCTTGTTGACTTCTATGTTGGTTGGTCCAGCAGGGTGTGCTGACTCCAGCTGTCCCAGATGGGGATATGGATGGGGGCAAACAAGGGGCGGCAGCGGAGAGCCGTAAGAATTGTTTCTTACCGATGCTTGCTTTCTGGGGAAGGGGAGGTTAAAAAAAAAAAGGTCTGCAGCAATGCTATCTGTGTTATCTGTTGTCTGTTTATTCACACACACACACACACACACACACACACACACACACACACACTAACACACACACACACACACTACCCCACACCACATACTTCTTTTTCTGATTCCTTCCCTAGGAGGTCAACTTGGGCCAGCTTTGTCCAAACACCAAGGTGTAGAGCTTTGCTATGCAACTGTTCCTTCTAGCTATGATCCCCTCTCTACTATGATCTGTCTGACTTTTGCAGATGTAAAGTTAGTTGCTCGGAGGCAACTACCCCAGGAGTCCTGTGATAGACTTGGGCACTGTCACTGCCGCTTCTCTGTAAGCAAATCTTGTGTTGCTAAAGCGTCCATGAATTATCTGTATTTGATTGTGGGTGTCTGACTCCTGTTGAGACCCTATAGGGATAGGGGTGTAGCTGGAGAGTTTTCTCTCCGGGCCCCACCAAGCCCCGGTAGTCCCTTAGCCCACTTATAAAATAAACATACAGACGCTTATATTATTTAAACTACTTGGCCACTAGCTCAGGCCTATCATTGTCTAGCTCTTACTCTTATATTCAGCCCATTTCTATTAATCTATACTTTGCCACGTGGCTCTTGGCTTACTGGTACCTTACATCGTCCTTGTCCTGGCAGCGGCTTCAGGCAGTCTCCTCCTTCCCTCCTTGTTCCCTTAATTCTCCTCTCTGTTAGTCCCGCCTATACTTCCTGTCTGGCTACTGGCCAATCAGTGTTTTATTTATTAACATATTTGCCATACAGAACACCCCACAGCATAGGGGCCTTCCTCCTCTGAAACAACATTGTCATCTAAGCTGCCACTTCAGTAGTGACAAGCTATGTGTGGGTACCGAGTATCTGAAATGTGGCTCCAATTAAGGTGGGTAAGAAGAGGAAAATACAGACTACCTCCAAAGACTTGGATTAAAATAAAAAGAAGAAGAAAGAAGGGTTGCTAGTTCATTTCCTGTTGTTCAAACAGTCCTACAAACTGGGCCAATAGATGTTTATTCATCTTACGATCCTGGATGCTGGGAAGTCTGGGGGTTTGGGGCCACATCAGTAATACTTAGAGGGATACACAGGTATAAAATCACCTCATGGTGAGCTACAGATGAACTTGGAGCCCAGCGCTTGTTTTCTAGATGAGAAAACAGATGTTCTGGTGACTGTGTGACTATTTGCTTTTAGAACAATTTTAAATGGCCTCTGTTTTTGTTGTCTTCCTTCTCCAAACCAGACTGAAACACACGGAGGAAAGTTTCAAAATATATTAAACCTTAAGTCAGTATTAAACTTCAAAGTGGTTTGCCAATATCCAATTTTCAGACATAATAGGAGATGGAAACTTGGCAGGGTATGCTGCTCATCCTGGGCAAAGGCCAGCGTTTCCCGGCCCTAGAATCTAACCAGCTCGTCATTGGTTGTAGAATCAACTGTGATTGGTAGTTTATGAACACAAGACTATACCCATCAGTGAGTTCTTAGCCAGCAGGCCAGACATGATCCACTTCTATCCAGGCAAACATACAATCGGTAGGATCCTGGGGAGGCTGAAAGACAATCCCCTAACTTCTACTTCCTTGGTCAAATAGGGTACAGTCAGGAGGAGGAGAGAACATCTGATTGTCAAGACTGGGCAGCCAGGATTCCAAAGTGAGGTGTCTGCTAAGCCCCTGTTAGCATGCCAGTTGGGGGATGGGGGTGGGGCAGGAAAATGTCTACCACACACAGGGATTGGGATAAAGTGACCAGGGCACAACCCACATTGCCAGCCTTTTTAAGGAGACAGCCAGAAATAAGGAAGCAATAAAATTAGAACAAAACCGAAATATTTGGGGGCTGAAGAGATGGCTCAGCAGTTAAGAGCCCTGGCTGTTCTTCTAGAGGACCTGGGTGAGATTCCCAGCACCCATATCTAGGTTCACAACTGTTAAGTAACTCCAGTTCAAAGAGATCCACCACCAACCCAGCTGGCACCAGGCACCCAGGTGGTACATAGACATACATGCAGGCTAAACAGCCATACACATAAAACAAAACTAAATGAATAAAATTGAAAAACAAACCCCCCACGAAGTGGCCTCAAAGAAAACAATCAAACTTCCAGCATCTGCAGATTCTACTGGCCACCTCCCCAGGAGCCAGCAAAGGGCAGATTTTGCCCCTTTGTGACCTGCTCTGGGGCCACAGGAAGGACATCTAGGGTCAGAGGAAATAACAGGAAGAGGAAACCACTGTCTATGAAAGGACTCTTAACCCCAGAACAGTTCAAATACATCCTTACATACATGCAAAGTATTCAACTTTACCAACAACTTGGGTATATGGGTTTGGAATCGGACCTACATTTTCTAAAATCTTAATTTCTACTTTTGATTTATTTATTGATCTACTTCCTAGGGGGTTCCTTTCTAGGTCCTGCATGACGTGATTCTTAATCCTTTTTAAGTAAGTCCAAGGGAAAAAGCAACAGAAGACTTGTCAAGAGCCCTCTCCGTGGATAGAGAAGTAGAAGTCAAATCTACGCTCAAAAATTCTCTTTGCCCAGACAAATCGGGGTGTGGCCTGCCTTGGCCGCCAGGAACTCCTGAAAACAAAACTTCAGAAGTCTCTGGGATGAAAAGGAGGGAATGGGAAGGGTGGGTTGGAGAAGGGTAGGGACGCTGCCTATGCTGGGGCAAGAGAAAGCAGGAAACTGGGATCTGGGAAGAGTCAAGGCCCAGAAGGTCTAAGCTGAGCTGGAAAGGCTTAGGAACCCCTAATCCGGTGAGGGGCTGACAGGGTGGGCAATCAAGCACAGGCCCTAGCTGTCAGTCTGACAGCGGCCCAGAGACCTGGGGGTGGGTGGGGGGACTGTGGGGAAGGGGCGTCATCTCTGTCGCCACCACCCTCTCCAGTGTGTTGGGCTGTGCCTCGCCACCGCTTTTTTTTTTTTTTTTTCTTATTTCGGTCCCACCCCTCTGGCCCCTCTAGCCCGGCCCCTGCGCCTCTGCTCGGCACCCCGGCGCGGATCCCTGGGTTGGTCTGGCCTGGGCCGTTGACGTCACCACCAAGTTTGCTGTCCTTCGCGTCCCACGTGTGGCGGTAGCGGCCAAGGAGGCTGCGGGGAGCGTCTAGGAGCACAGTGGCAGCGACCGATGACAGGTCCCAAGCAGAGGGTCCACTCCAGGTGGCTCCCAGCTGGGGCCCCAGAGGAGTGGGTAGACTTCCGGAGCGCCCCAAGAGGCCAGAAGGCTCGAGTTCCACTCAGACAGAGGGACTAAGGGGGACCTTGCTCTGTGCTGAGACGATTTGAGCCAGGACTCGGAGCGCGCTCCTGGAGGGCCAGGACAGCAGAGCAGCCAGCTGCTGGGAAAAGGGTCACTCGCTTTGTCCGGAGCGCACACAGCTCTGCGGTCCGGGAGCCCCGCGTCCCCTCCACAGGGACCGAGCCAAGGATGCACGGTCGCTGAGCCCAGATCCGCACCGAGTGGCCGCTCAGAACCCTGCTGAGCCCAGCGCCTTCGCCACCACCGCCGCAGAGACTGCCTTGTCCGGCGACTCTTGGGGGCCCGGGGCGCCAAGCTCTGCCCAGCTAGGCTCAGGACCGACTCGGGGCGCACTTCAGACCCGAGACGATGGTTTCTTAAGCACGGCCCCGAACCCCTTCCTGTCCCTTCGTCCGGAGCCCGGGATCCCGAGAAGGGCTCTCGGCTTCTGGTCCCTGCTCCAGCTCTGGCAGCCTCCCCGCGGGACAGCTCTCCCGCACGCAGAGGCGCTCGGGCGATGTGGCCGCAGGGCAGGGCGCGGGATGGCAGGGCTCCCTGCGCAGTCCCGGCCTAGCATGGCCCGCTCTTCGCCAGTCGCCTCCGGCTAGGATGGCCCCCTCGGGCCCCGCCGGCGCCCAGCCCAGCCCGGCTGAGCCACTGTCGCGCAGCATCTTCAGGAAGTTCTTGCTGATGCTCTGCTCGCTACTCACTTCCCTCTACGTCTTCTACTGCTTGGCTGAGCGCTGCCAGCCCGGGTCAGGCCCCGTCGCGGGGGTCCCGGGGCGCGGCGTCCCTGCAGGACCGAGGGAGCTGGCGGCGTGGCCCGCGGGGGCGCAAAGGAAGCGCCTCCTGCAGCTGCGGCAGCGGCGGAGGCGCGGGCGGCCCGGGCCAGGCGACAGCGGCGACCAGGACGAGCAGAGCCCCGGGCTGGCCGCGGCTCCAGGAGGCTCCGGGGCGGGAAGCAGCGTGGTGGAGGCCCAGTCGGGGACCCTGGCCCTTCTCTTGGACGAGGGCAGCAAGCAGCTGCCGCAGGCCATCATCATCGGCGTGAAGAAGGGCGGCACGAGGGCGCTGCTGGAGTTCCTGCGCGTGCACCCCGACGTGCGCGCCGTGGGCGCCGAGCCCCACTTCTTCGACCGCAGCTACCACAAGGGCCTCGCCTGGTACCGGTGAGCGCGGGGACCTCCACGGGTGTTTCTGAGGGCAGGCCGCGCAGAGGGCGAGACTTGGGAGGGGTGGCAAAGGAGAAACAGTAGCTGTCCCCAGCTAGGGCTTTCATTCCTCCCTTCTCCTCTTTTGGGGAGGGGCAGATTGAAAGAGGAAAGGAGGTTGTCTTGATTTTAATGCTCAGGACTCCCTTTCCCCCCAAACAGCCTGAAGTCACACTTGTATTTAAATAAAGGAAAAGGAAAAGAGTTTCCTTTAAAATTAAAAACCTGTTCGTCATTACGAGGTTATCTCACCAAAGGAAACTTGTTTCTATTCCTTTATCTTTGGGGTAATTCCCTGTGGTTAACACGGTATTTGCTCTGGTATTTATTTGCCTTGACCCTTTGCCAGATAGTTGTCCAAGGTGGTAAGTCATATAGAGACTTAGTAAAAGTGTCAAGTGCCGGGGAGTCCATGTAGTTTGGATAATCTATGTCCCAGCAAGTGCCAGCAGCCAGTCGCTGTATTTTAAAGGACATTTCCTTGGTAATACCATTGGCCTCACAGAAACTTTTCTAAAGAGCTCCGAACAATTATCTTTACAAATAAGATAGCTAATTTTAAAAGGGAAAAGAGGTTTTTTTTTTGTTGTTTTGTTTTTGTTTTTTTAAGAAAGGAAAGAATCGTGGAAAAAAGCATGGAAGTAAATCTCACTTACAAGGTAAGCTTATTTGCCAGTGTCGAATTCAGATTACCTATAATATAAGAGTTAGCCAAACTCTAATAAATTCTAGCTGGCCTGGATTTGGTTTGTGGTAAAAAAAAAAAAAATACTGATTCCCACCCCCCTTCCAAGTTCAAGGAAAAATCATATGGTTAGAATTTTCCCATTTTATAAAGTTCAGCCTGTTCATAAAATATTCATTCTCATTATAACTGAAACAATATTAGAAAAGTTATGACACAATTGAGATACACCGAAGGAACCATTCATAAAATAGAGACGGACATGATGTGACGAGTGTATTCATGTGTAGGGTCAAGAACATGTTCAGATTGATTTCAGGAGCTGAATTTATAGTTTGCTCTTAAAAAAAAATCTGATTCAAACATTAAACACTTCTAAAAACAGTAACTTTCCATTCATTGGAAAGAAAAACAATCAGCCTTCCCCGATACAGAATATATATCATTTAAAATCATCAGCCACTTAAAAACCTCCCCCTCCCCGTGTTTCCGTCATTTACGGTGTTCCCTCTGGGAAGCGCTTATAAACTGACCTGTTGAATCTGGACAACAGGTCCTTCTTCTCAACACAAAGGCGGTTCTGTGCTATTCCTCAAGGACACAAGAAAGAAGTGATTAAACACCCTAAAACTCTTATCTATAGCCGACCGAATTGAATTCGGCCTCGTACAGAGCTGGGAGGGACACATTTCAAACCATCAGTCTGAAACATCTAGGCCAGCCGTGGGCTCTGAGGAACTATTAAATATGGTGAAATATTTAGTGCTAACCTCCTTTATTTTCGTTTTGCTCTATAAACCTTATTTCCACAAGGTAGGATTGTTTCTTCTTATTCCAACAACGTCTATTTGAGGGCACAGTATACCTATAGACCTGGATCTGATTTTCTGTGAAACTTTCTGAAATCATGTAAAAGCAGGAAGGTTTCGGGGTAACTAGAAACACAACTACTTTTTTTTTTTTTTTTAAAGGCAGGGATAAAAATAAAAATAAAAAGTCATAAACTTGGAGGCCGCCCTGCCCTTTGGAAACTGGTTGCATGCTATGAAGGAAATCTCCTTGGGTTGTTTACCCCGGCAGAGGAGTTCTATAAAGCAATTTATGGTGGTTACAAAAATAACTGCACAGTAGACTTCATGGTTTGGTGAATTTAATTTTCCAAGTGTTGGAACAATGTCTTTGTTTTAACATTCATAGTGAGTGTTTTTTTTTTTTATTGAATGCATAAATTTAAGCTCACTGAATTATATGAAAAACTCCTTAAAAAAAAAAAAACCACCTGTGGAGCCTGGATTATGGGATTATTTAATGAAATTTCCCCCACACTTCTTTTTCATCTTGACTCTGAAACTGGGGTTTGATGTTTGTGAGAAAGACTGAAGACTTAACTCTCTCTGTGAGAAAACCCCACACAGAATGCCTTGAAGCTACTGTGTATTTGGGCTACTTATATTTACCTAATATTCAGAACAAGGATCTGAGCAGACCTTCCTACATTGCCCCAAATTTGCAATAGTGAATTTCTACCACACATTTAAGACCACACACACACACACACACACACACACACACACACAGAGAGAGAGAGAGAGAGAGAGAGAGAGAGAGAGAGAGAGAGAGAGAAACAAAAAACAAACTTTCTATTGAAAATTTGAAGAAAGTTAGGGAAGAGAAAAATATGGGTAGTATTTTTAGATGCTTGTGGACATGAGGGAAATTAAAAAAAAATGTCTAGCCTCTGCTTCTTTCTTCCCTCCCTCCACCCCCACCCTCTTTTCCTTCCTCCACCCCCTCTTTCTTCTTTCTTTTAACTGTTTGTCCCAACAACAGTTTGCTGTAGCACTGCCCCCTACTGTCCCCATAAAGGGAGAAAACGCTTGCTTTTAGGAAGTTGAAAAAATCTTTTGGAGAAGGAGTTTGAGAGTTAGAAACTCCTGTTGCTGGGCCACTTCTATATATTTCCACCACCGAGAAGAAAATACAATATGAGCTATGTTTCCAGAGTAGAGTATAAATCCTTCTTTGAAAAACTCTATAGTAAAATGAACATGAATGTGTTATTCAGCATCTAAACAGGATGTTCTTCTCACTGATTTAGAGTATTTGATGTCTCAACAAGTTTCCTGCCAATGTTGGTGTGTGTGGAGACTTGTTCCTAATCACTCAGGACACTCCGGTGGAGGTTTCTGGCTATAAAACTCCACCCTGTGGGCTTTGAAAATCATTCTTCACGACTTCGTTTAGCAGGACATGCTATCAAGACAACAAATACCTGTAGCTTTTGTGTCACGTGACAGCAGTCATTGGAAGTGAATAGTATCCATTTCCATTGCCTGAGTGGTGTGGTCACAAAGGAAAGTGGAAATAGTTTCACCCTCTCTTCAAAATGTGGAGAGGTTTACTGGAAGTCCAGACCAGTGGCCTCTGTTGTAGTTCAAGGGCAGGTGAGCTTTAACTGCATGAGAAGGGCCCTCTTCCTGCTTGTTTATTACCCCTGGAGAGGTAATCCACTTTTCCTACAGAGACAAAGGACATCTATTTGTAAACCATCTAAATAAACTACACATGTCCATATTCATGCATGTATACACTCCTCCTTTAGTATCTGTGGGGCATTGGTCCCATCCCCCTGTAAGCATCAAACTTCTCAGATGCTCAAGTCCCTCTTATGAAATGGTACAGTATTTGCACATAACTTAAAGCATCCTCCTCTGCACTTTAAATCATGTGTGCATTATTTATAATGCGTGATACAATGTAAATTTTATGTAAAGAGCTGCTACAGTATTGTCTAGGGAATAATAACAGAACAAAGTTAGGACATGTTCAACACAGATGTAATTTTTTTCTGCATGTTTTCATACGCAGTTGGCTGAGTCTCTGGATGTACAACCTGTGAATACAGAGGGTCTGCCATGCATCTGTCTCTCCTCTACCATCCACATATCCACATAAACACATATGCTTGTACATGGCCCCTGTAACACTCTATATCTTTATTTGGCCCATGATAGATAGCTTTCATTATGCTGTCTTTGGTGCTAGCATGTTCCACATGTTAACTCCCTTCATTAGCAAGTCTGGACCATTTCATCAGAGAAGAATATCACATTATAGCATACAGTAAAGATAAAATTCCTCAGCTTGGAGTTTTGGAATTAGTGTTCTCCTGACTTCATCAAAATGTGAAAATTTTAACCTTTCATGATCATGGCCTTATTTTTCAAGGCCACTAGAGAGTCAACTTGAGCAGAGGAACTTCTGGCTTCTGGAAGAATTCTGCATTTTGTGGCAGCTGGGAGCAGCTGCAGAGTACCTCCAGGAACCATTCCCACCCTCTGCACAACCATCCCCTTCTGCACAAAGAGTTTGAAATTTAAGCCAAAGGAGGTGCAGATCCTGGCCACCCATGCAAGGTCATATGGCCTGAAGTCCAGAAACTATGTCCTTGAGTAAGCAAAGAACAAGGGCCGAGGAGGACTCTGAGCCCAGGGGAACCATGCCTATGGAGAAAAACGAAGCTATTTCTTCCATGGATATAGTTCCCAGGAGCTCTGAGTGACTGGATACGACCCACCTGCTGTCATTGTCTGAATTCTGGGTTCTACCCCTGGAGATGTCAATGGTAATTTAACCAACAGTGTGCATGTGCATGCATGTGCGTGCGTGCGTGCGTGCGTGTGTGTGTGTGTGTGTGTATGTGTGTGGTATACATGTATATGTGTGTAGAAGTTGATATGTAAAGATGGGGAAGGTATAGAATTTGTATGAAGAACTTCAATAAATGGTTAGGGAATGACTTAGATGCGCCAGGTATAGAGGAGGCACTGATTATCCTGGAGATGAAATACCTTGAGTCTGCACTTCTTTGTGTATGCACCCTTTTATAATCTGAGGGGTGCAATGTGCTGACAGACTTTGTATGAGAATGCAAAGACAGTCTCTGGGTGGAAATCCCCCACAGCATTGTGAGCTCCTGCCCCACCTTCCCTTAAAAGAAAACACTCTGGCCTAAATATTTGTCTCATATAAATAAACCGGTTGATTGGCCAGGGAAGAATAAGTGCCAAGTCTGTATTTTAGAGGGGTCATGGGAATAAAGTAAGCCTGTGCAATTAATGACAACAGGGGCTAACCTTACATAGACCAGATGTTCCCATCATGAAGAATGTTGGTCACAAAGCAAACAAACCTCCTTGATATAAACAACTATAAGAACTGGTCATCTCTCTATGGGACACATTTGAACAACTGTAAGTTGTGGTCCCCATCA